TTTTGTCACTTGTTTCTTGATTTTTAGATACCACTTAATGTAAATAAAAAATAGCGCAATTTTTTCATGATTTAACGACTTTTGTATCTAAGTTTCAAATCTTTGTCTGAAATTAGTTTTTTATTGATTCAGGGCCCAAATTCCTCTAGAATTCCCCTGGACAATGGTTTTTATATAGCTTATTTTTGTATTTTTTTTAATGAATATTCTATTTGTTATATTTTATTATGTTTTCGTTCTTCTCTTTAGTGGGTGTAGGTGTGGGTGTGAGTGTAAGTGTGCGATGATCGTGGTGTGAAATTTAATATTTTTTTTTATTGTTTTTTAAGATTGTGTGGGTGGATTTTCATTATCTAGAAACTATACCAGACAAGATTTTATTTGACGTTTTTCTCACATTTTTTTTTAGGGTAAAAATTACAAGCACCCCCTGAGTTTTAGTAATATTATGTGAATACCCTCTAACTTTTTACAAACAACACAGAGACCTCTTGAGATTTGAAACTCATTGCAAAAAGACCCCTCCATCTCCTTTCCGTAAATGTTGCTAACGGAAAGTGATGATTTTATCCCAAAAAAATTTATTATTTTCACAACTGCCCTTCTCCAAATTTAATATAAAAAAAAGCTAAAATTAAATTAAAAATTTTCATAAAAATCAAACAAAATTTGATTTACTACCCGACAAATTGATATAATTTAGTACCCCAAAAAATTGATTAATTGAATTTCAATATTAATTTTGATAACAATAAAAATTAATTCGACATAGTTAAATATTAATTTGAAAAAATTAAATGTCAATTTGATAAAATTAAATATTATTTTTTATTGATCAAATCTACACCAAATTGACCTTAGATTATATTTTTTTGGCATTATTATCAATTTATTTGGAACTAAATTTTTAAAAAAAATTTGAACTAATCAATTTTTCAAAATTTTTTGTCAAATTTTTAACTTACTTTCATGTATTTTTATGTGAACCATAGATTTTTGAGTTTACCAAGTAGAGTTGAGCAATTCTCTTTAAAAAAAAGTGGGGGAGGGGGGGGAACAATTAGTTTGGTTTAAATATGTCCGGTCGAACTTATCAAATGATATAGTAAGTGGGAAGACACTATGCTATAAAAAAATGTGTATTTAAATTTTATGGGTGAAAATATAAATTTTTAAGTTTATACAACAAAAAAAAATTATATTTTACGTCAATTTAATGTTGGTTTAATCAACACCAAATAATATTCAACATGAAATAAATCTTAGATTGTAAATTATATATAATTTTATTTGACATTTAATTTTAATTAATATTCAATTTTACTGAATTCATATCAAATTAATTTTTATTGTTATCGAATTAATATTAAAATTTATTTAATTAATTTTTTGGTACTAAATCAAATCTTATTTCATTTTATTATATTTTTAATTTTTTTGGGTACTAAATTTGGAGAAAGGCAGTTGTAAAAATAATAATTTTTTTAGGGATGAAATCATCACTTTCCGTAACAATGTTGACAAAAGAGAGACATAGGGGGTCTCTCTTTTACCTCTATATCTCTATGTCCATCTATTTTATTTTGTATACAGTTATAAATGGATATACATATACATGTATAATAATAGTATATATATGCATTGTCTGTGTTAGATGTGGATGGGGTCTCATTGTTATAGCAAGTGTTATCAGAATGGGTGTTTCTATTGTTATGTCAAAAGGCAAGGGGTGTGTCTATTAACATAATATGACTTGTATTTTGTTGTATGCAGTAACTATAGGTACAAAACATATCATCTTCTTCCAGAAGTAGATTTGGAGGTGGGAACAGAGAAGGATTTGGACGATTTGGAGGTGGAAACGGAAAAGGATTTGGAGGACATGAGATGTTGGATTTAAGGTTCATTGGAACACAATATAATTGTGGGAAGAAGGCATCAATAAGGATAGTGGAAACCCAAAAACCATCAAAAGGGAGATTGAATTTCAATTGTGAGAAAGGGGTGCAGGTTCTTTACTTGGTGTTATCCCCAGTTAACTATAATGCCTCCATGTGTTGAACATGATTATGTGGACTAGGACGAATTTTCAGCTCAGAAAGGGGTCATAATAACTCCTAGGACACACATGCAGTTTTGAAGGCCCTCATCGTTGCGGTGTTAGTTGTGTTTGTAATGCAACTATTTGATATGGTCATGTCTATGAGCAAGAACTAGAAATTCCAATGATGTAGTCTTATCTGTAATGTTAGATTGTGTTTTACCTATTATGTAGGAAGTGTGTATGCCCTATAAGTATGGTGTTGGAGTTGTGCCAAATATGTAATGAGCTGAAATCAAGATTATGAAATTTGTACTAGCTTTTGGAATTATGCTAACTATGTAGTAGCTTCAATACATTGTAATAGCATCAATACAATAATTGTTTGTGTACATAGTACACTAATCAAAAACTGCCATTAGAATTTCAAAAAAAACACTAATAGGACTAATAAGTCAAAAAAGTCATGTGCGCCGTGTACATTACTATGTTAGTTATGTGCACCATTCACAAGTCAATATCCAAAATGTCATAAAAAAAAAAGGCATCATTCACATTTCTATGCTAGCTATGTGCACCATTCACAAGTCAATATCTAAAATATCATACAAAAAAAGGCATCATTCACATTCCAGAAGAAGTCAACTTCCATTCACATCTACCCTTACACTGGCCTGAGTGTCTACCCCTTCACTGGCCTGAGTGTCTGCCCCAATTCCCTAAACAGGATTATCAATTCCTTCTTGTGATATAGAAATTCCAGATTCACCAGCTTGAGAGCATTGTTGTGATTGTGGTGTTCGTACAGTTTGCTGCATACATAAACATAAAAAAATGTTGGACCAAAATTTTCATTTGTTATGGACATAATTAAAAATTACCTGAGCTGCACCTTTTCCTTTGACAGATGCCCTTTGGCAAGTTCGTTTATTGTGACCTAGTTGCTTGCAAATCTGACACCTAATTGTCAGCCCCCTTCTCATTTCATTTGTGTCAGCTGCTGGTTCATTTGTAGCTCTTCTTCGATTATTTCGAGGCCTTCCAGGTAACCTGCGTAAAGGTGGTGGATGGAGAGTTTCTCTAGTTGGAGCCCATATCTTATGGTTAATAATTGGATGTATGATATCCCCATGAACCAACATATATTTTTCCTTTATGAAATAAGCATCACAAAACATCTCAATATTCTCCCTTTGAGAACTTATTGTTGTTGCTGCATGAACACAGGGGACTCCAATAATCTGCCATTCTACGCAAGCACATTCCTTGGTGGTTAAATTGACAGGGTATGTTATCTCCTTGTGACAAATATCAAACTCCAAGTTTCCAGCCCAAAGCACATTACACTGCATGCTTTTCTTTACCACCTCGTTCAATTTTTGTCTAATATTATTCTTTGTAAGAAAACCTCCCCAAAGACTCCCCTTCATTTTTTTTTGTGCAACCTCACCATTAACTTGCACCTTATTCTCTCTAACAATGTCAGAACTGATTTCTGTCTTTGTAAACCAACCCATTGTTAAATGACTCACACAAATTATTAGTTATGTGGTCACTCTTAACAGTATGGTCAAATGTGTGCCTAGCCCATGTGTGTACAGGAATATTCATTAGCCAATCATATGCATTACAATTCAAATCTTTCATTTTATCCATGGTTTCCCTAAACTCCATCTCAGTATAAGCCCTAGTTGCCTTCCAAAAATAAATCCTAAGTAGTAACCCTGGGAATTTGGGCTTAGAGGTGTTATAGAGATGCTTACAACATCTTCTATATTTATTTTCTGGAAACACTTTCTCAAACACTTTATCTAATCTCTAGAGTGTCACCCCAACCAAAACAAGAAACAAGAAACAATAAAGACAAATCAAAAAAGACATTAAAATGAAACTAAATGGCTAAGAAATTACAAGTTAGAAGCATACCTTCTGGTTGTCTGAGATAAAGGTCCAAGATTTGGTCCTATCCACTGCTCCAATGACACCACGTAGATTTTGAAGAAACCATCCCCAACTTTCTGTCCTTTCACTTTCAATCACTCTATATGCCACTCGAAACAAACCTTTATTCCCATCAAGAGCCACTGCAGCCACTTGAACTCCATCAAATTCACCTTTTAGGTGACAACCATCAACCCCAATAAAAGTTCTGCAACCTGCCCTAAAACCATTTTTCAGTGTAGCAAAAGAAATGAAGATTTTCTTGAACAATGGGTTATCACTTCCAAGGTTACTCTTCCTTACTTCCCTAACATATGCTGGTAGTAATCCAAAATATTTTCCATGATGACCCTCTATTTCTTCTATAGCCCTCTTTTTAGCCCTATATAACTGACTAGGGTTGACCTCAATCTCCCACTTATCCTGCAATTCATATTGTCAAGTTTCTAGCATCGCTGGGTTGTTTTTTTATCTCATTTCTAAAATTTTTACCAATCCAAGTAGAGTTTACTTCAAGCACCCTCCTATACCTGACACAATTGTGATCTTTACTATAAGTCTTTACTTTAAAAGTAGGTTGATCCGATAAAGGAGATGCATGAATCCTCCACTGGCAAACCTCAGCAATGCACTCAACAGTAACTCTAGTCCTCTCATTTTTTTCCTTATTACTTTTATCCCTATCTTTATTATATAATTCTTCAATGCATTTCTAAACAAGTCAACATTTCCAAACAACATCCCCACACAAAAGTCCCAATTAGTGTTTCCATCTTCAGGAACATTAAACTCCACTCCAAATCTTGAAGTATCACTGACATTGCACTTTCTTTTCCTACCCCTTCTCTGTGTTTTATCCACTTCAACCTCAAGTTCCTCAGAATCTATACTACTAACAATCCTTCATCCCCTGATTGATAATCTAAAAATCCATCATCACTGTTTTCATCTAATTGTGTGTTGATGGTATCATCATTGTACTCATAACTAACATTGGGGCATCATCACCATCAACTATCTAGTCATCATCCTCAGAACTGAAACCATTAACACTATCATCATTCACTTCATCAACTTCATGCCTTTTTTCATCACTGTCATCATTTTCACCACTGCCACCTATATGTTCATCCTCATTTACATAATCAAATTCATGTCTATTTGCATCCCTGTCATCATTTTCAACATTAGGCTCTTCACCTATTCCTACATCTGGAGGAGGTGGGAGTCTCACCTGAGACCCAACTTCAACATTCACAAATACAGGAATCTCCTTACAATTTCTATACAAAGAAAACATTTCTTGTAACTGTTCATCGCCATCAAGTACAAGTTTTCCACTACCATCTAGCCTATCAACTTTAATAGCAATCATTAGCTTCAATAAACTATCACCCATAAAAACATTGGTAACTTCTGCAACTAGACACACACACGGGTGTATACATCTTATTTGGTTCATTTTCCTTTATTTATTGTAGGTATTTCTAGAGTAACTTGGAACAAAGGAAGTTGTATGGCCAGGTAACATGATTGAATTAGTTCAGAGTAATTTTTTCAAGTTATAGATCATACCAACTTGATAGGAGTACTGTATGGGTTTACATTTTTTAACTTACTAGATCCATTTGCTAGAGACCTTGCCTTGACGAGAAATATGAGATTTTTTCACCTATGTAGTACATTCCAAATCCGCCACCGCCAAATTAATGATCAATATTGTGAAATAAGTTAGAATATAAATTGGTTAGTCGATTAGACAAAAAATTACTGGATTGATCTAAATAGTACAAAAAATTTCAAATTTTAGGATTGGCTGAAGGGTGACATTATTCTGACATTTCATAAGAATAAATATTAGTATTGGATTTGTATGAATTTGAACAAACATAAAAATTTATAACTTTCTTTCTAACCTATATCTAAAATGTAAAAAATTATTTTTGAAATATTTATTATGTATTTCCCCTCATGCAAAAAAATAAAAATAAAAATAGTATCAATATATAATTTAAAGCTATTCACTTGCATTCTGTCGACTAGCTGCATCCCATAGTATCCTAAAGTCTGCCGCCAACCTTCCCAACTTGGCAACAAATTAACTTCATATATTGAGAGCATACACCGAGGACATTGGCTGATATACCCACGTTTCTATTCAAATTCTTGCCTGAATGATTAGGGGTACCCTTGCTCTAATATGTGTGCCGTCTAATGCTCCTTCGCAATGGTACAACTCAATAATAAACTCGAAATGTTCAGTTCCATAGTGTATGGTAATTGCAAATGGATTAGAAAGTGTAGAGACCAAATACCTTAAACCATCTCCATTTGTTATGTGTTGTCATTCGGGACTGGTTTAGGTCTCTTCAACAACAAACGATGCAATTTTTTAGTGTCATATGAATGGCGTTGAAATATGTTCTATTTTCAAGGTCGTAGATGAATTCAATATGAGAGTTTTTTATTTGACTGATGAGTTAGCTCTTTGTGAAGTGCTATAACTTGGTGTTTTGTTGAGTGACATTCACGAAACTTATCTATTAGATACTAAGTGATGTGGTCATGTTATTGGTTATGATTCTAGCTTAGAAAAAAATATAATTTATTTTTTGTTCCAATTTTTTTGGTCCATAGTGGGAGTATTGTGAATTTGTGCTTAGATGATATAATTGGATGGGAGAGGTAATGTAACATAAGCCAAAAATTACTAGTAAATATATGTTCATCTTTTAGTCAAACAAATGTTCAATGACCACATTAAAATTATTACTTATGCTGTCCAATTAAAAAATAGCACTCTTTTGCCCATTTGTTATAAAAATGAAAAATTAACAAATATGTGTAACTTTAATCTCAAGTTTTTAGTTGGGGCAAATTTTAGAATTTTTTTAAAAAATTCAAAACTTGGAGTTGACCCCAAAGTAGTTTCACAACAACGATAGTAAGGTATGCATATAAAAAAACGAATTAAACTAATGTAACATCATGGGTCTATTTGTCTCAGCTAATTTTATTATATGCACGTAAATGAATAAACCCACATAATGTAGAAAGCTTAAACCAATTTCTTATCGCAAAGATAATAGGTTCTATTTTGCAATGACTTTACTAATTCCTCGCACACAAACCAAAAAAATAATGATTTCTCTGAAAATATTATAAAAATCCAACATAATCAAGAAACCGTAGTGGCGCAAAACTACCTTACACATATGCTTGAAACTATGAAATAATAGCCCTGCTTTCAAAATTCTCTCTGTCATGTACTTCTCTGTCATGCGTGCTGCATCAAATAACATCCATAGACGACCGAAACTGAACACAAAACTATAGAACTACAATTATCAAATGTATAATTCAATTGGCAAAGCTAGCAATGTTCACGACACGTACCTAAAAATGGTGTTTTCATTAGCTACTTCCCTCCACTTTTGTGACTATGAGCACACCTCCTTGTCGTCTTATTTTTGTGTCCTTGATTTTCAACGACCCTTACAATCCACTTAGGCTTTCCAATTGAGAACATAATGTATCCCATAGAAATCCCAAATATAAATCCACATCCATACCCCATGAACGTCACTTTCCAATCAAATCGGAACTCCAAAGAATCGTCTTCTTGAAATATCAGCGGCGGAGGTGGTGGTGCCTCGTAGTTGCTGCATTTGTTTAACAATGGAAATCCACACAACCCAGAATTGCCAGCATATGAATCCTCTGGAAATGTGTTGAATTGGTTGCCTTGAGGTATGGGTCCTGTTAGTTGGTTGTTCGAAAGGTGTAGTACAGCAAGAGACAGCAAAGCTGTTAGGTGTCGAGGAATCTCCCCAACAAGCTTGTTTGAAGAGAGGTCTAGCCCTTCAAGCATCCTCATATCCCCAAGGGATGCTGGGATATGACCCGTAAGCTTGTTATGAGATAAGTTCAGGCCACGAAGTGAATTTAGATTTCCGATAAACTCAGGAATCTCCCCTTCGAAGTTGTTCCTCGATAAATCGATAATTGTCAAGATGGTCAGAGCTCTCCCCATTTCAATCGTTGATCCTTGGATTGTGACAATGTAGGAATCATAACAATAGTAACGGTGGATATATTCACTTCTCATGTATTCTAGCTTGGATTCGCCTTCATCAATATTCATCATAGCCTTAAAACTTTTGAAGTATTTTGCAGGCAACGGTCCATTGAAATCATTATATGAAATGTCAAAGACACGCATACTAATGAGGGGAAACTGAGTCATGGAAGTAGCTATGGGTCCATGAAATCGATTAGATCGTAAAATAAGAACTTGCAGTAAAGGAAGATTTTCCAACCAGTACGGAAATGTACCACTTATCTTGTTGTTTCCAAGATCCAAAATTTTCAGAGCTCCACAATTGATCAAGGATTGTGGTGTTGGCCCCATCAAGGTATTACCATTCAAACCTAAACTCTCCAAGCTACAACCCTTTTCAAATGTGTTAGGAATGTTGCCGTAAAAGTTGTTCTTCTGAAGTTGAAGCACTAAAAGATAGTTACTCAAGTTTCCCAAACATCGCGGAATTGCACCAATCAAGTTGTTACTGGACAAATCAAGAACTCGAAGATTTTTTGCACTGCAAACCAGTTCTGGGATCTCTCCGCTTAATCGATTGTCTGAGATCGAATAAAGAAATACAGAGAATGGAGGAAGAGGAAGTGGTCCTTGAAGCAAGTTGGATTGAAGGTTGAGATATTGTAATTTCTTCCATGGAAGTCTCTCTAAGCTTGTCAGTGAATTATTTGAATGGTCGAGGTATGTCAATGAATGGGGTCTAAATTCATAAATCGGGCCAGTGAATTGATTAAAACTAAGGTCTAAGAGTTCTAAGGCTGATAGGTTATATAGCCAAGATGGAATTGCCCCATTGAACAAGTTTTTGGAGAGGCTAAGCCATGCCAGATTTGAAAGGCCATTCACTTGCGAAGGTAGAGGACCTGAGATTTGATTATACAGAAAACGATATAACACAATGTCTATAGTAACCTTATATCTATATAATAAATTAGCTTGAATTTTTATTCTCTTTACATTTTTCCCTCAAAAAAATTACGTCACTCAATTGTATCACATGTTCAATCATTTAATATTTGGTTAATTTGTAATTTAGCACAATTTTTATTTGATACATTATTCATACACGATAATGTACACATGCTCAAAAAATTTGTCGAGTTATGTATTTTGATAAAATTTTGATGCTATTTTTAAGAAAATAATAGGTAGAAATTAATTTTAAATGATGTAAGTAAAAAATTAATTTTAAATGATATAAGAAGATAAATTAATTTTAAATTTGGTATTAATTTTTTAGAAAAATGACGCACCAATGACCATTTAACCAACCAAAGATATAACATGTTTGCCTAAAACAAATTTATGTCTATACTACTAATAAAAGTGACTAAAGGAGGAAAATTTTTGATTCTCTTATTTGTCGTTTAGCAATCTTACAATGTCCACTTTATCCTTATTTCAAGAATTTTCATACATTTATTTGTTGCATTAATTCAAGCAATAAAGTAATTGTTTGACTTTTGATTATCATCTTTACAAACATTACAAATCTGATCCAAATTCGATTAGATTGTCCGATAAATTTTATTTTTGACAGTATATATATATATGTTAAAATAGAAATCTGTTTTTATCCGAATAACTTAATTAGAGAGAATTTTATCATTTTACACATGAAGTTCGACACAATTTTATCAAATTACCACAAAAGTACCCAATATGTTTGTATATAGATGTATACGTAGGGCATCATACAAAAACAAATCATTTACCCCTTTTTACGTGACTTCTACTGTTCATCCAAAATAAGTTCCTCCTATATTTAGCTAAATGGGAAGAACTTTAAAAGACTAGCCAGTTGTGTTTGTGTTGCATTTGCAAATAATGGTGAAATCAGACCACTTAAATAACAATATTATTAAAGTGACCAAATTTTGAGATCAAATTTGAAGCTCAATGACATGGCAGTTGATTATTTGAAATTTTTATTGGGATCCAAATGATATGATACCAATCAAAAAAGCTCAAGTCAACTGTCATGTCATTTGGGCTCCAAATTTGATCCCAAAATTTGGTTAGTGTAATATTACTCCTTAAATAATTTATATGACCAAGGTTCGAAAGGGTAGACGGAACCAGACCAATGAAATTGTTAGACGAGAGCGATAAGCTAACAATTTGCGTAAGATTGCCGATCGATGCTGGGATATGACCTGAAAATCTGCATCTGCCAATGTTCAAAACATTAAGGGACTTGAGATTGCCAATCGATTCAGGTAGTTCTCCAGAAAAATTTGTCATATGAAGACCCAAGAACTGAAGAGGACTCTTGGAGTTAAATTTTGGAAAATAACCACGGAGAGCCATATTCATTCCTAGTCTTAGCACTTCCAAATTCGGTAAGTGGAATAGTTTGTTAGGGAATTGTCCCTCAAATCCACAATTAAAGAGACTGAGACGTCTTAAAGATGTCAGGTTCAACAATGAAATGGGTATCACTGAAGAGATGTTTACGTCATCAAGATAAAGTTCTCTTATCTTGGTTAAGTTCTGAACAAGGAATTTGAAACCGAGTCCCTCGAATCT